ACCCCAAAGGCTAAACACAGACATTGGTGGCCCAGAAGGAAGTGGGATAGGGAGGCCAAGAACAAGTTATAAGAAAAGTGCTCTGGCAGATATTCGTGTCTGTTCCAACAGCAGGATATCTTCTCTGATTTCTCTAAAGAATGGGAATTAGAAAAACAAAATTGAGATGATTGGAAAATCTCTGCCATGTGTGGAATGGTAGGATTAAATTTTTCTTATCAAAAAATAAAATACTGTGAAAAACTCGTTCCATGTCATTCAGCTAAGTAGATCTGTGATGTGTTTTTCTGGCGCCTCTGTCTGAGGCCTTCAAAGATTTTTGAACAGGAACTTGGTAATTGAGAGGCAAGTTTGTCTAGGACATTATTAGCCCCTTTTGCAGAACTGGAATGAGACAAATTTATTTATTGACTCATCTAGATCACTGGGAAGTTACCTGAGAAACTGAAAATTTGCACGCATTTCCTGTGTGGCCTTCCTGCCCTCCTCCCCCTCTCCCCCACAGCAGACCAAAAGCCAAAGCTGCCTTTGACAAAAGACAGAATGACAAATGTCACCAAGAAATTGTGAAGAAATTGTCAGAATCAGAGACCTATGTGGTAAACCTCCCTCAGGCTCAATGGGCAAAATGGCTTCTCCTTCAAAAGAACCTTTTCAGCGGGGCATGAGCCTGTAATCCTAGCTACTCAAGAGGCTGAAATCTGAGGATCGTGGTATGAAGCCAGCCCAGGTAGGATAGTCCATGAGACTCTGATATCCAATAAACTATTTAAAGAAATCTAGATGTAGGGCTGTGGCTTAAGTGGTAGAGTGCTAGCCTTGAGCAAAAAGAAGTTCACAGACAGCACTCAGGCCCTGAGTTCAAGACCCAAGATTAGGCCAAAAATAAAAATAAATAAATAAATAAAAAGAACCTTCTAGAAAATAAAGTTATACCAGAATTCTCAATGAGCAAAAACATACCATATTTCTGGTATGTCCAGATACAAGTTTTACCAAAGGTTCTCTATATTTATAAGCTGAACTTGTGAAGTTACATACAAGGCTCTTAACAATGTTTTACCCCCTTTGCAGGCAGAGTGAATGGGTAGAGAAAGCCAGCAGGAAGGCTGGGAAGCTCATGGCTTCCTATGCAGAGAGATTCTGTGTCCAAAAGAACCAGCAAAAGGCAGGGCTGGAGGCCTGCCTCAAGTGGTTGAGCCCCAGCCATAAGTAAGCATGCATGGCTTTGAGTTCAAACAGCTTGAAATCGCCTTTTTGTCAATCTCAAAAGTTTCCTGCTGTGCAGGCAAAGGCCCGGGTGTGAATTTAGGCAGGTTTTTTTTTTAACACCTGAAAAAAATAGTTTCACAATGTGTAGGAAGTTTTAGATATGAATCTCCACCTCACAAAGGGAACCAGCATCTAATCCAGCTTCCTCGTGGGCCAGGGGAGATGGAACTGCGAGATATACCGAGAAAGAGCTGTATTGTGGCCCCTAAATCCATATATTAAATTCCCAACCCTTATGGTCCCTCAGAATGTGAGGGTATTTGGAGATACAGTCTTTAATGAGGCAGTGTAGGCAGACTGAGGTGTCCACTGCAATATAGTTAGTGTCCTTACAAGAAGAGATCGAGACACAGGCATGAACAGGGACAGCCACCAGCCGCAGGGAGGCCTTACCGGAAATGTCAGGAAATTAATGTATACTTGTTCAGCAAATCTTAGGTATTTTGTTACATGGGCCCAAATAGATGAATATAGATTTCCTATGGTAAAGGATACCCTCCTGGTGTGTGTGTGTGTGTGTGTGTGTGTGTGTGTGTGTGTGTGTGTGTGTGTGTGTGTGTGTGTGTGTGTGTGTGTGTGTGTGTGTGTGTATGTGTGTGTGTGTTTACTCAAGGCTGTCGCTCTACCACTTGAGCCACAGTTCTACTTCTGACTTTTTGGTGGTTCATTGGAGATGAGAGTCTTACAGATATTCCTGGCCTGGCTGGCTTTGAACCATGATCCTCAGATCTCAGCCTCCTGAGTAGCTGTGATTACAGGCAGGAGCCAAAGACAGCCCTGCCACCCTCCAGTTTAATGGATGGCTTTCTGTGACTTAAGTCTTCAGTCTAGAAATGTCTTAATAAAAAATTAAGAAATATCTTAATAAAAAATTGTTTGAAAAATGGTCACAAAACTGTGCTTCCAGAAAAGCATGTGACACCCATCCATTCAGCTTTGCATTCTGCAATTCCCTTTGGGGGGGAAAGATGCCTGTGGTGAAGAAACCCAAGCCACGGAGAAGACAAACACCCAGCAATGTCGCTGAGATTTCTACCTGTGATTCTAGGAACTGAGGTATCTTGCCACTCAGGCTTTGCCTAGACCACTAAGCCACTTCTAAGAGCCAGGGTACCTGGGGCGTTTTGCAGAAATATGCATGCGTGGGGCACACAGCCACAACTCTCTTGGCTTCCTCCACGCACCTTTTTGAGGGGACCCAAGTTGGGTTTCTGCAAGACATTTTCTAGGGCTAACCACGTAGGGTGATGCTAAGGAATCACGAGTGAACATTTCATCTTCTTTAGCTGCACAGTAAAAGAGAACTTGGTGTGGGGGAGACAGAGCAAGAGTTCTTTCTCTGTGGTAGACCACATTTCTTTTGCATGCCTATGTCTCCAGCACACCGGCGCCTCTCACCAGGAGGAAGGGAACAATGGTTCCACATCTTCCCCACCCCCAACCCCACCCCGTTTCCACGGCTATCTGGCTACAAATGAGTTATGGGTTTCCTTCTGTGAGAATTGCATAGACTGATAAAGGACCATCCCAGAAAGAAAACAAGATGTTGCAGCCAACTCACAGTTGCAGGGCTAAGCCAGGATGTCATGTGCTATAAATTATAGGCGGCAGGGGTGACCACACATAGCAGTGGCCGTGGCCAGCTAGCCTGGGACAGTGGGGGTGAGGGGGACTTGCTCCTGAGGGTGTGGATGTTTCCAGAATAACCTCTTGCCTCCTCTGATGAGTGGGAGGGCAATTTGAACCCTTGTGTTGATGGATCTCTTAGAAGAAATTAACCAGGAAGTTGTGGAGACTTCATCTGGCCTCTGAAATGAACCTCCATATTCTACTATGGACTTAGTGAGCCTGAAGACTTCCCTGGCAACCCCAGTGAGACCTCCGGATGACCAGTCTTTGCTTCTCTCCAGAGCCCCCAGCAAGGCAGGCAATCGGCTGGGGCTGGACACCTTCCATTTCTGTGTCTCTCACTAGTTTTGTTTATGGAGCCAGTAGGGATGGCTTTGAAGGCCAGCCCTTCCAGCTGAGATCTCAACCTATTGCCCAATGAAATGCTCCAAAATTTCCTGAGTCTGCCTTGCTGGTTGATAAAATAGGAAACAATAACACATTCTGAGCAGAGTATTGAAAGCAGAGGAAAGACAGGAAGATTGTTTCTCTTTGACTCCCCAAATATTGCTTCCTCTCCTTGTTAGCAGCTCAGAGGAAATGCAGCCAGCTAGCAGTCTTCAGCTTTTCACCCCTGCTGGTGTTTCTGTGACACCCGCCACACACACGCACACACACACACACGCACACACACACACACACACACACACACTGTAAGATGTGTGACTCACACACCACACTGTACTGGAACCATCTGAAGTCAAACTATTCACCTGGTTCAACTTCATTCCACTTCCTCCACTGCTAACAAGGGACCCCTTAAAGCTTGCAATCGGTGAAGGGCATGCTTTCTCTCTAAGTCCTTCCCCAACACACACACACACACACACACACACACACACACACAAAACCCTTTGTCAAGTTTTTAATTTTAATTTTCTAAATTTCAGGGACCAGAGAGCTTAGGTACTCGGTGGCACTCACAAGAGCATTTGTAGTGACAAATCGGCCGGCCAACCTTGTGCATTCCCCTGCTCACTTGGCTTTATGAATACAAAATGAGTCACATATACTGCTTGGGTGTGCCAGAAAATTAATTATTCCCCCCTTTCTGTCCGGCTCCATCTCTCCATCCTGACTCCGCCAAATCATCCAGCCACACTCTGCCAGGGACATCCATCAGAGTGCATGCCTTGACACACAGCCGTGCCTGTGCAACACGATTTTATTCATTGTTTTTGTTGGTTTCAGCATGGCTCTCTTTTACACACGCATCATACACTGTCACACACACTCATGGCTCAATCCCAGTCTTGCACATTTCAAGAGGTGGTTTGCAAATAAAAGCAGGAAGTTTTGCCCACCACGGAGCTAGTCAAGAGTGTGCAATCTAATGATTTTTAGCTCTAAGGACAGTTAACTTAGGAAACATCTCCGCTGGTCTGGCTGAGGGTGAGACTTTGTAGGCAACAACTGGCTTGCTTTCTCTTTTTGAAAGAGGCTTCATAGCAAATGAGGCCACATGGAAAACCACGGCCCGGTCCCCTCTGAGCATTTTAACCTGAACAGCTCAGCTCAACAACTCCTGTTCTCTGCCTCTGAGAGAAAGTCAAGTTACCACCTTGGCCTTGAAATCTCCAGATTGTGCCCGTCAGAGCCCACGTAGCTCATCCATGTGCCTGCGAAGCCCTGGGGCAGGCTTGTTGTCTAGGCCACACGATATGCTAAGTTCAGGATAATTCAGAGTCATTCCAGCAAGAAGCCAGCCACAAGTACTATCAAACCGAGGACACTTCTCATGCAAGTTTTCTAATCTCCAGAACTTGAAACAAGAATAGCACTAGTCATTTGCACTTGACACAATTCTCACACAGCAACAACCCTCTCCAACAACAGCTTAAGGCAGCATTTATTAAAACATTTCAGAAGAGGTGTCACCCAAAGAATAAGTAATCCAATAGCCTGGTAAATACACACCTCCGTTTGAATTCCTCCCTTGAAACCGACAGGGAACCGGCAGACACCCAGGAGATCTGTCTGCGCCCAGACTCTGTACATTCCCATGTCCTTACACACAGGACTGAGCAGAAGTAGATATTAAAAGACCAGCATGTACTCACCTCTCATGAAGCATGGAGAATACGAAGGAAATGACTCAAATATGCTGTCTGAAGCCATTGCTTCCTTCAGCAAATGTACCCTCTTCGGAAGGCGGGGATTTCAAGAATTTCTTGAACCTTCAGAGTGAAAAACCAAGAAAGGTCACTATTTTTACTCTGTCTCCCATGGTAGCTCCTTTGGTCTCTCCTCCCCCTCCTGTCTCAACACCTCTGGGACTCGCAGAGCCCTATGAAAAATGTACCTTGGTGAAAACAAATATTCAAATTGTTAAAGATAAAAAAAAAAAAGAAAAAAAAAGGCGCCGCCTTGGCTGTGGGTTGAAAATGCTTACCACGCTGTGAAACCCTGTGGTTTTGCATTCAGTGTGATTCGTCCTGTCTAATGACCACTATGCCGGGCGGGCTCAGACTTCTGACACTGCCAGGGTACCCAACTTGTGGTTCTGTGGTTGTTTATGAGGCCCAAAGAAGTTTTCACACAACCCAAATTACAAATTTAACTGTTCCCCTTTCTCTAGTCCATCCTCATTGGTTCTTGCCAATCACGTGACTCCACTGATGTTAAGGTTTTTTTTTTTTTTTTTACTTTCTGAGCAATCCCTTCTCCCTTCCTCCCTCCACCTGCCCTCCCTCAGAGTGTATAAGAAAATAACCGAGTAGAACTTACAAGAGAGGGAAGGTAAGAAAGAAAGAAGTGACTCTCTTATTATATCCCAGTGCTTCTTGCTGATCTGATACAGCTGGGCTCCCATTGTTATTTGTGTTTTTGGGGCACTACTAATTATTTTGATAAAGTTTTCATTGCTGCTTATTCAATAGGACTTTAACTCTACCATCAAGCATTGTGGCTGCTGTCATTTATAATGCTGGGCACCAGCTTCTTGGTGAAGATTGTATTGGCATAAGAGAAATACAAAGAATCCCAAAAAGCAAATCAAAGCCCAAGTTCTGTGGAGAATCTGATCTTCTAACGAGGCTAACAACTTACTGGTGTTCTGAAGCTTGGGGAAAATGCATTTTGATTGTGAAACCATTTAAAGACAATTGAAGAACCAAGTGGTAGGGCTTTAGTCCCCCTTAACTGATATGTTTATAGGTGTTCATTCCGATAAAGAGATCAAATCCTGCTACTCTTTTTCTACCTACTCTCATGCTCACATGTACAGCCTACCCACACTTCGGAGAAAGATCAGGGAAAGCGAAGATGAGACTACTGGGGTCTTTGAGGACAAAGCCTGGCTAGTCAGCCAACAGTTCCTTTCTGTTCTTTTCAGTCCTCAAGCTCTGCTTCTTGCCTTTCTCCAGAGCAACTCAGATTCACACCTGGAGTAAAACTACACTTGGAACCCACTAACATGTCACAATAGCTACTCAAGAAGCCACAGAGCCTGTTCTTTCGCAGCAGCCTTGAGGGAGAGTTACACACCTGCTCCTCAGCCTTCACAAGCCATGCCCATTTGGAGGTGCATGAAAAAACATAGGGTAATTTTGATGTGAGTGAACTATCTCGTTCACGTGTATTTATTTATATTCCCTACCCCCTGGTTTTCCTGCTCACAAATAAAACACAGTTTCAAAAGGAAGACTCACTTCTCTCATTAATTTCTTTTACTTGTTTTTCTTTTCTGTGTGTGTGTGTGTGTGTGTGTGTGTGTGTGTGTGTGTGCTGATACTGAGGCTTGAACTCAGGGCCTGGTCATTGGTGCTCTACCTCTTGAGCTATAGCACCACTTCTGGCTTTTTGATGACTAATTGGAGATAAGAGTCTCGCAGCCTTTTTTTTTTAAAAATTTCTTTTGCATGAGCTGGCTTCAAACCTCAATCCTCCGATCTCAGCCTCCTGTGTATCCACCCGTGCTCAGCTCTCAATTTTTTTCTTCATTTTGTATGATTTGCATACCCCCCCCCCCATCCTGTATGCTAGAAGTTTGAAGGCACACACCCCTGAGAAACTCAAGTGATGCTAGGTTTCTAAATGCCACCCTGGATTCCAAGCAACAACCAGCAAGGGCATTCTGGGAAGTCTGAAAACTTGAAGAATTCCTCAGCTTGTCCTAGTTAATTTGATACACAGGAGACCTCCACTGTTACTTTCAAGAGCACAGATCATTCCAAATGACTCGCCTCCATTTTTGTTTTTTGTTTTTTTAAACTCACCCACTCCCGTTCTGACCAAGGCAGGAATTGAAACTCGAAGGCTGTTTTCTCCTAGACTACCGAAAACTTCACTTGCCCAGATGTCTGCATGGCTCACACTGAACACAGTAAGAAGGCCTGTATTTCCTTTATGAAGCTTATTAATACCTAAATGCAATGTACATGGCACATTACTCCTCAGTGCAAATCTAGTCCACATCGTGTCCTTGACCAAGTCCAGCTGGAACAAAAGCCCCCAGGGCCAAGTTCTGTTCTTTCTTCTGGTATCTACTCATCACTGGAAGACTCTAGAAGCTGAGGGCTGTAATTGCAGCTGCCTTCTCAGAGTCGACTCAGACTTCATAACGGCTGAGAAATTCAAGAGGCAGTGCAGATTAATCCTGGGGATATTTCAGTTTAGAAATTCCCAGATGCTTTTAGCCTTAGGTGTCCAGATGTAGGCAAGGAGGGGCCAAGTGCACTGGCGAACTGCCTGAGTTCTCAGCTTCTCTCTACCGGCTTAGTTATGCCGAATATGTGTCTCTCCCAGCGTGGCCTTCATAGGACAGGTCAGAATGGCAGTGGCTTGCTTAGACTCCATTGAGTAGCTGTTACCAGGGCTGGGGTGTAGACAGAGCAGCAGGAGGCTGAAGATAGAGCCCCAGTACTGGCCCTGCAATGCCTTAACTGCTTAACTGCCAGAACAGCTGAAGCAGAGCTTCACAGTTCGGTGGGGACAGCAGTTGGGACTTTTCTGGGCTGTGTCCAAGTCACTAGAATAAGTAATGACTCCTCAGCCAGCTGCTGCTGAATTCGACCTTTCCCCTTCCTTACGGAGCCCAAGACCAACAGAGAAGTCTGTCATCAGAGAAACTGCCTGGAGATATAGTTAATCCCATTTGAACCTGAACCGTTTAGGATTCCCGAGGTTCATGCATTGACCCACGCCCTCTCTCCTTGTTCCTGTCAGTGACTCAGATCGGGCTTGGGAAATGTACCCAAGCGGCTACAGTGGACTGTGGCCTTGCCAAGTCATTGGATGGCACTTTTTATCCTCACCCAGATTGGCAACAGCTTGAACATGACACTCCTGGGGATGGGATAGGGAATATGCTTGGGTGCCTTTTTTAATGGCCCTATAAAAATACCAGCAGAGGTTGGAAGATGAATAGTTGCATAACACTATAATTAATGCACAGACCTCTGTGTGCAGTCCAATCTCATTGGAACACTCTTTGGTCAACATTTTCATTATATGATTCGTTGGTTGCTGTCTGTGAATTCCATACAAGTATGATCAAACAGATTTTGGGGGCCAGAAAAATGGAGGCCACAATGGATCCTTCAAGTTGGATGTTGTCCAGAATTCCAGGAGGGACACACGGCTGAATTATCTCCATGTAGGAGCTAACTGGACACTTCCATGTTATATGCTGATGAGTTGATTTTGAAGTTGAGCCACAGACACCAAAGCTTCATGGAGTCAACATACTCAGTACTTAGCCAATCTGATGGTTTGAAATGACAGGAGAGCAGAGCAAGCTCACCTGTTAGGGGTCTTCCTCTCTGGACACTCATGATGCTGTCAAGCGGGGCGCAGCTCCTTCTGCACAAATCTCTCTCTTCTGTAGATAAAAGCACAATTCAAATTGTTGCTACAAAATTTTATTTGATGTAGGCTAGAGTTTCAGTATTTATGCTGTGTGTGTGTGTGTGTGTGTGTGTGTGTGTGTGTGTGTGTGTGTGTGTGTGTGTGTGTGTGTGTGTGTGTGTGATAGTGCTGGCCCTTGAAATCTTGCTTGGCTTTTCACTCAGGCTGGCATTCTACCACTGAGCCACACCTCCACTTCTGTCTTTTTGCTAGTTAACTGGAAATAAGAGTCTTGATTTGTCTTCCTAGGCTGGCTTTGAGCCATGATCTTAGCCTCCTGAGTAGCTAAGATTACAAGCATGAGCTACCACTTGTTTTTGCTTCTTCTAGATGTAGATATATTGGTTTGTGGAGAGAAAAACACAGAGAGGAAAAGAGCAAGAGAGAGAGAAATCGTCTGAAATCAGTTCATCAAACGCATAATTTCTGAAGATATAATGGTAATTATTTCAAACAGAAGAGTTTAGGCTGCTTAGCTGCTGTACGTGGAGACTGGGAGGCAGCAGGGCTGACATCACCTGGGAACTTGCTCGTAATCTGAGTCCTGGACTCCATCCCAGGCCTACGGAGTCAGAATCTGTATTTATACAAGATTCCCAGGTGACTCTGGTACACATTAATGTCAGAAAACTCCTCTGAGGGAAGACTCCTACAGGTTGGAATTTAATGAAGAGAAAAGATGGTTCTTGCTTATATTCTTTGAGAGTGAATCTCATGTTCTCTGTCTCTGTCTCTATCTCTGTTTTTCTCTCTCCCCTCTCTTTCTTGCTCTTGAGAGTTTCCAAAAACATCTACATTTTCCATCATGTTTTCTTGGATTCCGTTTTTTTGGTTAAAGTCCTGGATGTTTCAAGTCAGCTTACAAAAGGCACAGCTTATATCCTCCAAAGTAGCACTGTCTTGAATTGTCACTTTGTCTCCTCATCGTTGAGTGTTGAGTTGGGGTTAAGTTTACAGTTTAGGCCTGACACTCTATGTAGACAGGCTCCCATGTGCTGTGTAGCTGGTGGTCACCCAGGTATAAACAGAAGGATTATTTTGTTTTTCCTCCTGGACCATCCAGACTTAGAATTTTCACCTAGTTTACAGTTTGGGAACACACATGTATCCTTGAATTCTTCCAGACGCACACCATGTGTTTTCATGGCAGCCTGCATCGCAGGTGGCCCTGAAAATCTTCTCCAAGAAGGCCCGCCTCTACTCCTCAGCCATTGTCCTTCGGATGTCACGCTCTGATCTCCACTTCAAAAGGAGGTCTCACCCTTCTACTGTTCCCACTTAGCACGGCTAACCCTTCCAAGGAGCCAGAGGCTCCATTTTCAAGGCACCCAGGAACTTGGCCTCTTCTCTCAAGATGCATCTGGATGGTTGGAGGCTTGCCTGGGCCCTGAGAGCTTATTTAGAATAGGTTCTCCTGACAGAGTTTTGGCCCTGCTGTTCCCCATGTTATTTGAAACCAGAAGGTAGAACTGGAAAATTTAAACAAATCTTCCCTGAGAATAAGAGATGTTTAGCATTCGAGGTTTGGTCAAACGATAGAAAGAATTCTGAGCGGGTATTGAATTTTCTAGCCCCATGTATCCAGCCTTGAAGTTAATTTCAGCATGAGACTCAGGGAAGCAAAGGGAAATGAATTTGAAATTACTTTGTGTTAAAGAA